AGAAGAAGAAAAGATATCGTATATAAACTGATGTTAATATTTCCTTCACAGATTACTCACCATACTATACAGAACGTTTACTGTAATTTCATATATAGGACAGTTTAACATTTTAGAAAGATAACTCAACATCTAGTCTGTTATTAATTAGAATAAAAACATACAGTAATTATTAGATAATTCATACCGAATTTTAAATTTGAGCAAATGAATTTTTCCGCCAAAACACTAGTTAAGTGAAAATATATCATTTTCGTTAATACATTGCGGCAATGCACCATTATTTTAAATACATTTCTTATTGTTTGTCTCTAAACAAATCACATTGATACAAACACGGAATTTACTATTCAACAGTCACAAACTTCTCGTGTCCTTGATATGTCGTATATATATGCTTTCATGGGAACATTTCGAAATAACATCTTAAGTGGTCAAGACACACCTTGTTATTTGTTTTTTAAAAAAATGTTTCCAAACTTTCATGTTTATCATAATATCTACCTGTCTATACATCCTAACGTAAAATGAAATTTAATTTTGTTATTTGACTAAACAACTAAGGATTATTTTATAATATAAACGTGTATTTCTTCAAGTAAAGATTCTTTATCCGTGATTGTTACAAAGCTTATGCTGTAAGTTGAGCTTAATTTTAATAATTAATAAAGATTATATATCAAAACCACAAGGCGGCGTGTTTGTAAAGTCTTTTCTACGACAATTCTGATTGCATTTTATATATGATGACACATGAAATTAGCTTAGTCCTTCGATTTTTTAAAGCATGCATAATCACATAGCAGCAAAAAATAAATACAGTTCAAGATTTACACGTAATAGCTTTGACCCTAGATAAGTAACCTTGACTCAAGGATTTATATAAAGAAAAATATAAATACTTCTTTACGTAAAAGAGAACGTACTAATTTTACAGTTACTCAGATATAAAGATTTCTACAGCATATCTACAAGGGAATGAGAAAATGATAAACATATTTTAGGATAAGCCTTACAAAAAATAACAAATTAACTATGGAATAAAGCTTTTTGTTTCTTAGAAAAAAAGTTCCAAAATGATAAATGTTTACTTTAAAGAAGTCCTCAATAATCTTATATAGGTGGTGCCAGCTAAAGTTTCATCTCTGTAGTGAATTCCTTCGCTCACCAATTTACACGCAACCCTTTACGAAACCATACAGATTTTCTAAAAATGTACAGATAAAAGGTTATACTAGTGACTATGAGCAAAACAAGTATGTATAATAAAATATTCTAAATTCCGTGCATAATTGAGCCATTTATGTAAACATGTTGCCAATCCACCTATTTATGTTTATTAGCGTACAGAAAAGCCAACTGCTACTAGTTTATTATGCTAATTAAATCCTGTCGCTACCAGGTGAGTCTTTAAAACATTTTATCTGCAATCACCAAGCAATTTTACTCAACGCACAGGAACACCCACTAGACAAAAGATTAAGCTTGGCTGAAATTACACCTCTCAACACGGGGTGGGTCTTCAGAATAAATTTGTCGTAATTGCCAGACAATTTTCATCCACCTATTTTACGAAGGAAAATAAAATCTTTATATGTTTTTAAACTAATTTATTGTTTATTTCTGTAAAAATTACCGTTGCTTACAACCAAGAGGTTTGAAACATAAAATTATATATTTAATGCGAACTTAAGTAATAAAGGTCGATAAAGCATTATCTGGGAATTGCTTAACGCTCAAAAGAACGAATTTGTTAGTAACTAAATGAAAAGGCTAAATAAACTTTGTGTTTCTGGCCGAGCTCAGCCTCTGATATAAACAATTTAATCACAAGCCAACAGTTTAAAATACTGGAAAAATTAAGCAATAGAAGAAACCATTATTAACCTGAGATCTCACAAAAGAAATCTGTGACAAGGCTCGCTTTCTGTTGTCGCATTTATGAAAGGTTTAACTTTTAACCTGCATGTGATAAATTATTTTATAAAGTTTGCGACTAAATTTTCAGTGAATTTGGCCAATCATTTTGAAGTTAAAGGTTCGGCTCATTCTCTTCACTTTACAGATTAATATTATTCTCTATTCATAAAAATGTTTAAACTTTTTATATGAATCGCGTCTTGCACAATATGACAGACATGAAGCTACAAATTGTGTTCTATAATTTATATAGTAAATCTCATAGCACCGAAAAGCTACGAATACTTTAATTTGCCTTCAGTATTACATATAAATATACAAGAGAAGGTTAGTGGGACAGCTTGTCATATATGCACACATTTACGTATACATAAATACCGAAATATGTGAGCCAAACGACCAGTATCATACATAAAGGACAGGGAAATGAAACTGGTGTATTAACTATACATTGGAAACGTCACCTTGTACATATTGAGAGTGGTAATACTGTTACATTACGCTTGTTTTCCTTTAAACAGTAAACTTAACATACGTATTGTACTATAAGTTTAATATATAATTTTATTAAGGAAACTGAAGTTCTGCAAATTATGTCGTTATTAAACCAGAGACAGTACATCTACTAAACTAATCTGATTAATAATGGCCATTTTTGGGGAACGTTTGTTGACTGGACTATTTTAGAAATGTGAATAAACGAGCAATACCTGTTTAGTTCTACTACATAGATCAAAGATAACAAATTAATTACTGTTGTACGTAAAGGCTCCACACAATAGAAAGTTTTTGTTTATCTCTTGTTAAGCACAAAGCTACATAATGGGATATCTGTGCTGTATCGAAACCCAGTTTTTAGCACAGTAGAATAAATGCGCTGCACTGAGCCACAATTTAAAAAAAAAACGTTTCTGATCCAAAAGGGTTGATAACATCATAAGAGTTTTCAACAGATTCAACGCATTTGTTCATTTTTATAAATTCAACTTACTCAAAAGTTCGTATCACTTTGTCCAAGATTTAGACTGAAAACAAATGACGAAAAATTGTAATTCGCAAAATTAAAATCATATGAAAGATCTATAAATGTTTCTAATTAAAAATTAAGTCAGCACACTTAAACCTATTAAATAATCACATCTTTATTCAAAAACAACCTAGGAGAACCTACTCCAGAATAGGTGTCTAACACTATTTTTACAAAATAACTTTTCCCTCTTTGTCTCCTCATAAGGACTAGTAAAGCCATGAAACTACGTAAATAGTTAGTCATTAAACATGAAAATAGTCATTATTTCCATTACTAATTGTATTTAACAGAAGTATATATACAAGTGTTAACATCATGACTTTTTGAACGAACCTTAACATCCATACAACCATGCTATTTATCATGTACAAACAGCTATATATATATATATATACACACACATACAAATACAGAAATATGCGGATTTCACCAGCATTTAATTTCGATATTTATTATACAATCAAAGTGTTAGAAAAAATAGACACTGAGTTAAAGTTTCAATCTGTATTAAAGCCTGAATCGATGCGTTATCATTTAGTTATTAGCAATTTGTTTTTTCCACTATAATGTAAACAAAAACAATTAACGATTACCGAACTACTTTGCGTACCATTATTTTAACACTTCAGAATTTACAATTTTCTTGATTTCTTTGAAATTAGAAAGTACGTTCAAGAATAACGTTTTAAAATTTTAAATATGCTAAGAAGGAATAAGTAATTTCAACATGAGAAAGTACTGGTTCTGGGAAGAGTGGGAATTTGAATATTTATGAACAGTTAAAAGAAATAGAGAAAATGGATCAATTCAACATTTATCTTAAACAGTTTTACATAAAAAGCATTAATAATATGAAAGAAATAAATCAATAAGATATTATTTCTTTAGAAGGCAAGAATATTAGGCAGAAATAAAATACAACCCATGATAGGAACAAAACACGGAAACACACAAAACCTATTCTCCAAATACTTTTTACAATATGTACAATATCTGTAACAATACTGGCTGCTTGTTCTTACAATGTGAAAGGCAGTTCCCAACTTCATCAATATAACAAACAAATATTCAAATCCAAGTTTAACATTGCATTATTTTTTTCCATATAATGAAAGTCATCAAATTTTTATCTCTGTAAACATAAGAGCATTAAAATTGTTACAGCTTAAAATGCGCCATTTTAATAATCCATCTTGTGTCTTATATTAAATGACTCTAATGAGATTTGGGTATAAAGAAACGCGCGTAACGTTGTAGGATTGAAATTGCTTATGAACTACTCCTGACATAGCTCTTGAGATGAATGATGTTTTGGACCAAGTGCTGAGACTAACTCAATGAACAATACATGAAAATTCCAATTCTTTTTAAGATTTCCAATGAAACAATATATTTGTATAGTTTTCTCGATATAATATGACATGTATAGAAAAAGAAGAAAGATTTATGTACGATCGGCACACACACAAGGTGCAACTATTTTATATAAACTCTTGTTAAGTGAATACATATGTGTATTATCGTGCCAAAGATTGTTTAATTCTTTTAGAAGGATTACATTCTAAGATAGAGAGTATGGACATTTCTTTTCATACATAAAACAACTATCTACTAATCTGATAACTAAGAGTAAACAGATTACATGTTTAACTAACTACCTGTTTACCTTTAAATTATATCTCTCATTTATTTTATTAATTACATTTGGAATTTAGCAGAAAGGAAAAAAACTCATACTTTAGACTTAACAAAAATAAATAAAAATCCAATAAAAACTGTAACAACACCCAATATAATAGCAGTACATGATCTATGAAATGATATCCAAGTGGTTTGGGAAATGGAACCTAATACACTCACATACATTGTTTAAAACATACTATCGTAAATTCTAAACTTCTTAATTTTTAACTCCTATAATTTAACAGAGTGATTCATAGTCTCAACTAGAGTTTTCAAACCCACATAAGCAGGTTGTGTTATATTTTCTGCTGACGAAACACGATAACATTTTTCTGGTCAGTTTCACTGGAAACTCTGTCATCACGGAGCGAATCCTGGTAGGTCACGAGCGAATCCTGGTAGGTCACCGGGGAGGATGGAGATTTAAAATGGATAATTAATTACTCAGTTGCTTGTGGAGCTTGTACGCTGCTCAGAACTAAGCTCAGTTATTTTCCTTTTTGTCTGTAGAAATAATTTAAAAAACAGAAATATCTTTAATGTATTATTTATTATTATGACTTCTTTACCCATGAAGCTGTGGTATTTTAAGTAGATACTGCAATAGCTTATTTCTTACGAAATGTTCTTCTAAATAGTAATAAAAAACACTAACTAAATAACTTTTATTCTTTAAACAGTTTATTTCGTTAATGAAAAAAATGATACGTGACAAATGTTCCAACGTTTATGTTTTATCAAAAGTAATTCGATACCTTTACTCTTATGTCCACGTTATTTCTCAGTCTCTTAATGATTAAAACAACACAAAAATCACATGGAACAATAAACGAATTTTTTTCTTATCGTTTTATATTATTACGTGTGTCATAGCTGATATTGCACACATTAAACATTAGGTAATCGCCTAGCGTAACACAACGACATTTTGTATAAGTAACAATTATTCGTGCATTAACATGAGAAGGTCTCTAGGAACATTAAATCATTTAAGAAAAGCTTAAATCGTAAGCAAAGAATAATGTCCCAATAACCTGATTACCTACATGTGGAGCTTTTTCGCTTTCTACCCAGGCACGTGTTTCTCAGTCACCCCAGTTTTTCGTGTCTAAAGTAAGAATGTTTCAACGGGGGGATTAAGCCATTTTTCTCCCTTCTTCTCACTGACTAGTGGTAAATCTCATCCTTTCAAACAGTTCCTAAGAGGATCAATCATTTCGTACTAATTCTAGTATAGGGAAGACGCCTTTAGAAAACAGTCATATTTGAATTTAATTGTTTCTCAGTAAGGTGTTAAGCTCAAATCAACACTGTTTAAGCTCTGTGAGAATAGATGCGTCTGTCCAAACGCTTTCTATAAAAGCCTGAAAATGATTCATGAAAGAAACATATGCCTTCTGATACGTTTTGGTTCATTACACTTCAACAATACAAACACGCTACCCAAGTTAGGACACGAATGAAAGGGGCTCTAAGTACAAATAAATGGATATTTGATCAGGCTTATTAAATGATATGAATAATGTGAAAGCTGAGAAAGTATCAGTAAATTCAATCCTTTAGTTAACACAGAGCATGTATACTTTTATAATATTCCAGCTTAAAGTATACTGATTGTTTTATTGGTATCAAGTAATTTTAGAATTTTGAATCTCCCTAAGTTTGGTAATGATGGAAGTTACTATGTAAGTCATCTCTGTTTATTTTAACTCAATTATAATATATCCATCCAATTATTTTCCTCATTTTGGTCACTGTATTCACCATCCTCCAATCAAAATAATTTTCACGTAAAACCAAAAATTATGTGGAATAGTTTTCTTTTTCTCAAGATTGATAATCCTAATCGATATCATTATAACAAACTAGTGAAAAAAGGAAGTTTAAGATGTAAACGTTTAAAGCAAGACATAATATTCATTACGTTTCTCATCTATGTTGTCAGGTTTTCAATCAACATAACAGTACGATGAAGCCACATATAATTGTCATGGAGGTGTTTACTCACTATGCGTGTGTAAGGAGTCCCAATAACCAAGCTACTGAGAAAGTAAAAACTAAAAATGTCGAAGAATAAACACACCACAAAAAATTCGTGTACACCTAAGGCATAAAAAGCAAGGTATCAGTTGGCTGATGATCTAGCCAATTTGATGGATCCATCGCCCTAGAGCACCGCCAACCGTTTTCGCTCACCTCGGTCTCCGCCTCCTCGTGACGCTCCTGCTGAGCTCTATAAGCTCTCTGTTTCTCTTCGAAATCCCGTAGTCTCTGGTTGTATCTATCAATTTGCTCCCTGAGTATAGCATCTTCGACCTGAAAAATCATATGGGACTCTAAGACGGGGTCAAAAAAGCAAGTGAAGTTAGAAGTTATCGATAATAATTTACTTGTTAGTGTGAGTTATGCGACAGGGCTTCTTATTACAGTTTATCGAAATAAAAAAAAAAACTTTCTCGGGCTTAAAATATTTCATAAAATACAACCCAATAATTTATAATATAATAACTTATTCGTCCCTGATATTGATCTTTCAGAACTGAGTTCTTGCACAAGATTAAAAAGATCGTACCCAAGGGAATAGCTTGCAGTGTAAAATTTTACCTGTGCTCGTTCCTCGTCGTATTCTAAACACCCAACTCCGTCTAGCCTTTCCACGTCGAACCATCCTCTCCATCTCACGCATACTCCGTTCATTATAAAACTGGACGTTATATGTACCTAGAACAAAATAAATTCTGGTCTCATAAGAAAATCAAAACCTAAGCTCTTTAAACAGAGCTTTCGTATTTACATTTAATCACGAATAAATCATGCATTGAGTAACTTAATATTTTTTATTAACAAAATATATGAAGTTACTTAGCACATGAATATAGCTCTATACATACTGTCTTATTTATAAATGTACAGAAAAAATCTGAATATTATCATAACCAATAACGTTATAGAATTACGGTAACTGTAATAGCCAAGAACGTTATTTTGAATTGAATATTGATTATCGTTCTCTGAACTGACATTTTGCCTAGGAGTCTTCATTTTTTTATAATATCAATAAATACTGTCATCGTTTTTTGTTTTGCCAAAGACGCGAGAAAATTATATCACTCATACGTGAATCAACCAAACAAAATAAATACTGTGCCTACTGATGAAACACAACAGTGTGAAAAAAATCATGGTGCTCTCAACTAACAGAACTCGTAAAAAAAACACTGTATCTTGGGACTGCGAATAATCTATATGTATTTTGCCCTTTCTTTGTCACTACCGTTAGTGAAACCTGGCATTGTAATGAACCACAGCACAATTAAGTTTCTACAAACAAGAGTTTAATTTAACTATTTAATGTTAATATTAATATGCATGAGGAATTCCTGAATGTCTATCTGAACATCACGTTCAAGCGCTCTTGGGTGGAAAAGGTTGACTAACAAAATACTATTGTCAATATAATTTTCTAAGTGAGTGTTTGTTCTATCGTAAAACTACAGAACAGACTATCTGTGCTGTGTCCACTGAGGAGTTGGAACCAGAGTGTTAGCGTTGTAAGGCCTGAAGCTATGCTACGAAAGCACTGGGAGAATATAATAATCGTTTTTAAGAAGTGGGGGCGTCGTAAGAAAAGCTATGCTAGCCTGATATGAATTTTAACTTGTCAAAAAAAAGCATGTTACACATTATACAACACAAATGGAGTTGGATTTCTGTATCATGGAGAATTCAATACATTGTTTGTAAACATGATCCTTAATCCTGCTTCGGAAAAAACCGACATAAAGACACTAGTTTCCAAACTATGATACTCATTCTTTATTCAAAACGGGTTAGCAGAAGCTAACATTCTCAACAGTGTAATTATTTCTGTTATTGTTTAGATTTTGTTATTTGCGGAAGTCTAATGTGGTTCCTACCAAACTGAAACATAATCTGTCATACTTTGATGTGGCAGTATTCTACTTTTAAGAAGTCAAAGCCTGTTTAAATTTCTTCTTTCAAATCTACTTGCCTTAATTCGCATATTTTGTTTTATTTGTCACGATGAATGAGTACCGCCTAGAGCACGAAGTGACTTTAAACAACCAGCATTATATTCACGAAAAGTCTTATTCCCTCACCTTGTTAGCTACCATGTTGTGATTACAGATAATCATGGTGGTTTGAGATGTAGGGGGTAACAAAACTATAGCTGCTGAGTTTTATTAAAACCAGAAACTTGATTTTAGAACTGTAAAAATAACTACATTTATCTCGTGCTGGGATGTTTCCTGCAAACTATGGCAGGAAAATATGTTAGTGCCTTGAGAAAAGAAAGAGTTCGGCCCTAATTACCTGGCAGTTTTCAATTCTGCACAAGCGGCACCGCAGGATGTTAAATAAATAACAGCATGGATATACGTTATGTCTAGAAAATGAAATAAAGAAAGCTACGAGAATTTCTTATCTTGAATATTTGATGTAAATAATAATAAAAATACGGCCAGAGGAAAATAAATAACTCTTTTACTTAATCAAAATGAGAGCATCTTGCTCATATCTTCAAGTAAACTTTGCTCATGCTTTGTACTAACTAGCATTATGAAATTTTTATGCCAGATTGTAATTGCAGCACTATCCGGACCTTGTTAAAACGAAAACAAAAAATTAAATTACTTGTTTTTGTTCTCATTGCATGCCTACATCTATAAGGTTTTTAACTAACGAAAACCAGAGTTGAAACCATTCAAACTGCTGTTCCCAGTATCTGTAGAGGATTGGGTACGTTATACTAAAACCATTTTGAATATGCAAATCAGTAAGTCAGGTGACACTACCGATATAAAGTCGCGGAGGAAAGACATGTATCAGAACTACAATTTAAAAATTTGGGAAATGTATGTAACACCCTTACCGACATAAAATATCCATAAACTAAAATAATAAAGATGTGTTCAGATAAGGGATACAGAATTTCCAAGACGAGGACATCTCTTGTATATAACAATAGTGGAAAACAAAAGGAATGTAAACCAGCTTGGAATCCCAGACCACCCAAAACGAAATCTGTAAGAAACCGTACCTCAGTTGTGGTAAGCGAAGTGAAACGGCTTGTTATCCATGAACACAAAGATCAGTGGCAAAAGCCGTCCACGTGCCCCAGACAAAAGTAAGCAACATAATCAAGAAGGATCTCCATCTGGAAACATGACACAAGTAACGTATACACAAATGGCTTCCATAATACATCAGTTCATCCGTTGCATGTCTCAAGCAGCTATATAATATCGAGTATTCGTATTATTTCATAGGAAGACATATTGGTCAAGTCAACGGAAGCAGCGCCTTTGAATTTCTAAACTATCGGACTATTGAAAATGGCGCTTGACAAACCATCGTCTTCAAACACTAGATAGATTGTGGAAAGCAGTTAGGGAGTAATGGTGTACTTGGGACATAACAGCCTTACAACAGAGCCAGTTTCAATGGAAATTATGATGCAAAGATATATATATCAAAACGCAAGGTCCTCAAATAGAGCATGACCGGATGTGGTGAGGTTCCAAAATCGTTTTAATATAACGTGCTCTACCCCGCTTTTATCTGTGCTGATTGTGTGAATTAAATTACCTGTCTGTCTGAAAATTTAACTGTTACACAGTGTGCATACAGTTTATTTTATTTTTGTATATATATATATATAAAATAGTATAAACAGTTTAGAAAAACGTCACAACTAGGAAACATTTTAGTATGAAAAAAGAAAAAGTATGCAAAACGTTTGGTCAAATGAACGTGATTTTCAAACTGTTCTGGTGGGACGAGCGTGACCTACTGATTAGAGAATCTGTGGTTCGCGTCATGTTACCGCATGAGGCTGTGTATGTGTTACAAGAACAACAGTCAAATCCCATTATTTAATTCGAGTAGCTCATGAGTTGGTGGTGGATGCTGTTGACGAGCTGCATTCCCTTTAGTCTATCAGTTAACAACGAGGACGGCTAGCTCAATTAACCCTTGTGTAGATTTGTTCGAATAAGCGACTAACAGAAAAATCAAACAAACTTATTCAAATAGTTTTTGTCTGCATCTGAAACATATTTTATTCACGTAAACTACCATATTTTACCGTCACTGCTTTATTTGGTTATTGAGGATTCACTCGTTTCAGCCTGAGTGTTTTGGCTGAGTCAGAAACAAAATTTCTGTGCTCATTTTTGTGGTGGTATTATTGTTTCACAAAGATTATACAAAACAGTTTAAACCACCGATAATAAAAACGACAGTGTTACAGTGGATCTATTATTTGAGTGAAACTAACGTCATTAACATCAGGCGGACTCGACTTAAAAGACGCAATTGTGAATCGATTTCAAAGATGATTATTGCCTGCTCTAATAACGACTTTTAGGTTAAGACCAATGAAGGAGTTGGACAGCAAGCGTGACAGGAGTATTGTTGCGCATGTGTAAATTTCTAATACGAGAAAACAAACCTTAATAAATTGGTGCGTATATCTTTCGTTAGTAGAACCATGTGTACTGATGAACCTGAATTTGCTACTTAATGCTATTCTCTGAAGCATTTCAAAAACTATATTAAGCATGTACGTTACCTCTGAAATAACTGTCCAGATACACGAATCTATATTTCCGTCGCATCTTATTTATTTCAAGCATAGTCAGCTTTGCATACTCGTAATGTGTGATTAGATAACAGTGATTCTAATAATTTAAATACGCCTAAACTCTTCAATACAAAATATCTTAATTAATTGTTGTAGATAAGTAATTAAATACATCACTTTACTATTATTTTCATACAAAAATATGAAAAGAATTTCAGGCGCAGATAATCGGACAAAAATAATATTTTTCAATATCAATATTTTGTTTAAAATTGCTCAACTTAAGCATTCAGTTTTAAATATTCGGTTTGGCTGAAAATCTTTTATATACGCTACTTGATTAATTCAGATGCAAAACAAATACTATAAACACCTTTAAAAAAGTGTATTTTTCGATAGCAAGTGGAAAATAAGGTACTAAAAACCTCTTTAAAAGTATCTACTTCTATAGGTTGTGCAATATTTGCTAAGCAGAGCGAATTCTATAGCTATATTATCACATTTACTCTCAATGTATTATAATATGTTTTGAAGAGTCTAATTTGACAACTATTTTAAAATTTTTGGCTATGCCTGGCCTAATTCGATAGTAAATGTAATAGTTATTATGAATGAATCAATTCGAAAACTACTGTAAAACTTGTTGCCATGCAGGGACTATACTATAGCAACTTTGATATTTATTATACCTTAAGAAGACGGGCCGATGTTCTGAAGAAACATGTAGTATGGTTCAATTCGAAAACTACTGTAATAACTTTGCTATACTATTGCAAAGTTGCTATAGTATAGTCCCATGCAGGGACTATACTATAGCAACTTTGATATTTATTATACCTTAAGAAGACGGACCGATGTTCTGAAGAAACATGTAGTATGGTTCAATTCGAAAACTACTGTAAAACTTGTTGCCATGCAGGGACTATACTATAGCAACTTTGATATTTATTATACCTTAAGAAGACGGACCGATGTTCTGAAGAAACATGTAGTATGGTTCAATTCGAAAACTACTGTAAAACTTGTTGCCATGTAGGGACTATACTATAGCAACTTTGATATTTATTATACCTTAAGAAGACGGACCGATGTTCTGAAGAAACATATAGTATGG